AATGTGCTTAACGTTGCTTGACTTTTGTGATGAACTGATAGAATTTAGTAATCCAACATGACTAGGCCATTGATTACTTACTTATTTATGCATACGCAATTATTTTTCAAAGAATAATAACAAATACTATACCGGGTGTTCAAAATACAAAAACAATTCATTTCTCGAGCACAAACACATTTTTGGAGACGAATTTTATCAAACGAATATTATTTAATATCAAAGAGAAAATGTTAAATTATATAAAGGGGTATTTCTTTTTCTTTTATTTAATAGAAGTTTTACAAATCATTTCAAGATCAATTTTGCACTTTTTTTTTCTTCATTCGACGTGAAAAAACAACTTTCTTTTTGAAACAATTTTTTTTATCTTGATTCTAAATTTGTCGAATGTACTTAATACAATATCTTATGGTTTCAGAAGAAACGTACTTTAACGTTTACAATAAAAAAAATATTGAAATTTCTCAAGAAATAGTTACAATAATCAGTCGTTTGTAAATTTCTTAAATGTGTTTATTCATGTGCTTATTCATGACGTTTACACAAACGTACACGCAAGTGTCTGCGTGCACATTCGCATAAGAAAAAATAGATAGTAATAAATAAGAAAATTATTAATTCCAAATAAACATGTGTTTTATCTTTTATATTTGTCATTAAAAGATGTCAGTTATTTTGTTAAATTCAAAAGTGAACAAATATTTGGTTAATAAACTGCAAACATTTAAAATAAATATAAAAATATTTCAGACGAAAGTTATTTGTTCATTTTTTTTTTTTTAACGTATAACATATTGCCGTTATAGAAAAAATAAAGATTTCTATTTAAACAAATAAAGTTGACCTTAAAGTGATATCAGAAGCTTCGATTAACAATAAAAAATAATTCACACCATAATATTACCCTTTTGAAATCAGATAATTACTATATAAAGAATTTTGTTAAAAAATGCAAAATTTTCGAGATAATAATTTGTAATGCTTTATTTCGAACACCCTCGGTGTTATAATAATTAATAAAATCATAGAACGAGATAGTGCAACTGGTCTTTGTATCTTTTACAACATTGTTTATTCTACTTCGTCGTTATCTTTCATAGTTTCTAAGTTGGCCAAGGAAGATATAGCTCCGCTTGTACGGAAAATGGAAAAAGAAGGACGTATAGATGAGAACGTGTTGAAAAAACTTTTTGAAAATGGCGTAAGTTAATATTATATCAATAATATTTATGTTTAAGTGTTATCTCTTCTTGGATAATTTTTTTGTTAACAAGCCAATTTATTTAAGGCGATAAGAAAATGTATTTGGATAGTTATTGTCTTTTATTTAATAGAAGTTTTAAAAATCATTTCATGGTCGATTTTGCTTCCTTTTTAAAAAGGAACTTACATTTTTCTTTCTTCATTCGACGTGAAAAAAAACAAGTCATTTTTTTTTTTTTTGAAACAATTTTTGTTATCTTGATTCTAAATTTGTCAAAAGTAATTATTACAATATCTTATGGTTTTTGAAAAATGACAGCCATGAAACATTTTCCGGGAATTACCGTCGCCCCTATTATAAAGTTAAACTATTAGTTTTGTTATTTATTATGTTACACTATTAATTTTATTATTTATTTAAATCTTGTGATATTAGAAAAAATTATTTATATCTACAATGTGTTATTTACTCTAATTAATGTACTGTGAAGAAATAGATAAGAGTTTAAAATGTTAAGCGTCAAGCCTGTTTTGTCCATCTTTCTGTTTGATTCGCAAAATAAAATTCCATCAAAAATGGCTTTCGACCGAAGATTGGTTTAGGTTACAAAAAAGCAGTATAAACATTTTAGAAATATTTTTAAACACGTTAAATGCCATGAAAGTCATTGGTACAATGTATTACCGTGACCAATTCCTCCGTACCGAACGAGTTAATAATGTTTTATCTATTTTCTATTCTAATTGAATATTGATATTATTTATTTTGCTGTATATCATCCGTAGTTAATGGGAATGGAAGTTCCAGAAGAATATGGGGGAACAGGAGGCAACTTTATGACGACGATTCTAGCTATAGAAGAAATTGCTAAAGTTGATGGTTCTGTTGCTGCTCTTGTTGACATTCATAATACGCTGGTCAATTCATTGATTATTAAAGTAGCATCCGAAGAACAGAAGCAGAAATATTTGACCAAGTTAGCTCAGAATTACGTAAGTAAGCGATATAATTCATTGTAATATTGATCTTTGTTATACTCATCTCGTACATGAGCCATTTATTTTGAATCGGTCGTAAATCCAAATTTGTATACAAAAAATGAGCTCTCTAAACAATTACATTTATGATTATAATATGATTTAATATTTTCATTGAAAAAATAAAAAAGATAACAAGTTTAATAAATAAATTCTAAAGTATAATTTTAATATTTAGGCAGGCAGTTTTTGTCTTACGGAACCGAGTGCAGGATCCGATGCTTTTTCTTTGAAAACCGAAGCAAAGAAAGATGGAAATGATTATGTAATTAATGGTACGAAAATGTGGATCTCAAATTCGGACATCGCAGGATTATTTTTAGTTTTTGCAAACGCTGATACTTCAGCAGTAAGTAAAAATAATAATTTTACATAAAAGTGTTAGTTGTATGATTTAATTATTGTATAGGGTGATCTGAAATTCACGTTAAAAATGAAATCAGAAAGATTCTATAGCTCGGAAAAGACGAAAATGAAGAATATTTCAATTTCGTGGAATGGTATCATTTAGGAGAAAAATCTATTTAAAAATCAATCGAGTACACGTGCACTTAACAAATAACTGATATTGCAAATTAAATACAATTATCTTTCTATTCCTCGTTAGTGTATCGCATCGTGTTATTTGTGCTCGATAGAGAAATTGATAGTTAATATTTTGATAATAAACAGTGTCTGGCATTATATCTCATGCAAAAACAGTAACAGAGGCGGTCTGTAAAGAAATCTTCAATATTACGAGTTATTAATTAAATACATTAGTTATGTTGCGTGTCTTGGTGGATGGTTAAATAATAAGTGAAATGTACAGGTGTCTTTATAGGTCAAGATTCCGACAGAGAATGATCCATCGCCAATGCGAGAATAGTATTTGTAGGTGAAGATTCGAGAACCGCATCGTAGTATGTGTGTGTATGCAACCAAAGAATAAGAAATGCGATAAAGGCATGAAACTCGTCTGGTTTATTTTTTTTTGAAAGTAGGACCTCGGTGTTCGATACTTAAATGATTCGTTAGGCGACAAGGTGGCTGCTACCAAGATTGGAACATTGCGCTAAATGGTTGGAAGCTATCTAAGTGCTGTCATATAACTCACGCATACTCTCGACTAATTTTCAAATACATTTTTCTCGTAAATAAAACCTTTCATGTAATTTCGTTATTCTTGATTTTCATTTTTTTTTGTGTAATAGAATTTCCCTGACCTCATTTGTAATATGAAATTTGGACCACCATGTATGTAGATACAGATACGAACACATATAAGAAATTTAATTTTCTATTTGTTATTATTACGATATAATTTCAATATCTGTGATTAATCTTAAGCATTAAATGTTAACATATATAGACCTTTCATTCTTATGTTCTATATATTGCATATCAATTATTATATTATTTTCTTCTATTAATATACTATTTTTGATCGTAAATCGTAGAGTTATCGAGGTATTACCACATTTCTCGTGGAGAGGAATACACCTGGAGTAACTGTTGGGAAACCTGAAGAAAAATTAGGAATCAAAGCATCGGGAACTTGTATGATACATTTTGAAAATGTTCGAGTAAGTAAGAAAAAATTGTTTACATACAATATATGATCAAATGGTATTATATCTTCAACAACGATTGTCTAGGTTCCTGAAAGTAACATATTAGGAAAATTTGGACATGGTTACAAATATGCAGCAGGATTTTTAAATGAAGGACGTATCGGTATTGGAGCTCAAATGATCGGTATTGCACAGGGTTGCTTAGATGCAACTATACCCTATACTCTGGAACGAAAACAATTTGGCAAGGATATATTTTCATTTCAGGTAAGATTTCAAGATGCAGATAAAAATAAAACAATATACTTCCGTATAACGTGAGTTCCTATAACACGCCGAAAATATTGCGATTACTGTTCTCATATAACACCAATCCTGTGCTATACAATCAAATGTAAAAATTTATTGCATTTAAAGATTAAATTTGCTTTGAGCATTGCATCGTTATCTTCCCCGCTGGCAATTTGTTTTGTTTCATAATTGTTTATTTTTCTTTTCTATTTATTTCTATTTTTGAATATAATGTTATCAAAAATAATTTACGGAAAAGATAATTATTATCAATATTTATATCTAATACAAATATTCTCGTGAAGTTATTGTTAATTATCTAATGAAAAATAAAAAAAAAAATAAAATCGTATTAAACCAGAAAAATGTTCATAAAACGCGAATTCTTATAACGTTAATTCGTACTACGTATAATACGTGAACCGCGTGACTTTATTGTATTATCATGACTTTGTTTAATCAAATTATTATAATTAATAATATTCATTCAATTTTTTAGTCTATGCAGCATCAAATTGCTCAAGTTGTAACTGAATTGGAAAGTGCCAGATTGCTTGTTTACAATGCAGCCAGATTAGTAGATGCCAAAAAAAGTATTATGAAAGAGGCAGCAATGGCGAAACTAGTCGCTTCTGGTTTGTTTTTCATTTGTTTAAATACAATTGAAAATCTATTATTTATCAGAGTAGGAATTGTCTAACTCGTTTAAATTGTTACTTACAGAAACAGCTTTACGTGTAACAGCAAAATGCATAGATTTTATGGGAGGTGTTGGTTTCACTACAGACTTTCCTCAAGAAAAGTATTTTAGAGATTGCAAGATTGGAACTATTTATGAAGGTACCAGTAATATGCAACTCTCAACGATCGCCAAATGTATTCGCAAGGAATATTCATAAATATTAAATAAAATTGCATTCAAATTCTGTACTTAATTCACAAATAAAATCAATCATTAATCACATATTAACAATAAGTGAATGTACTTTTCTATTTTCATATACTAATTAGAATTTTTGTACTACATTTTTTAATATACATTACTATTTTAATAAATTGTATATATCTATATATTTTACAAAACCATCTTTCTTCTTAGAAAGCAACATTGAAAACTCTTAATATTTTCGTTATTATTCTCTCTTTTACGAGTTTTGAGGAACTTTTCTTTAAAATCTTCTCAACACAGTCTACTACCTTTTCACAGAGGCCGTCTTATTGTCTTTCTGGAATCAACATAGTGTTCTAAAGCAATTACCTATCCAAGTATTAACCATACCCAATATTGCTTAACTTTAGTGATCATACAGGAACTAGTTTTTTCAATGAGGCAAGGCCATTGATGAAAAATATTAATATATTCGCATTTTTTACCATAATTTTCAAATTTACATGTACTTATTCAACATATATTTTTCATTCTGAAGTACTTTTCTTTTAAATCAACATAAAATGATAAAAATCTTTATACAAACGCTACGTAGATACTTTGATTTTACTTTTTACCAATTTATATCTTTATTTTGGATCGTGTGGTAATTTAAAACCAACAAGATCTGCCGTATCCTTAATACTTCTTTCTCCTTTACCGGAATACTGCATTTTAATTTCCTTGTACTTCTTTTGCGATGTCAAGTAACAAAGATAAGTTTCAGCTAAGTTCTTCAATTCTTTTTGAGCTTTGCATAGAACTTCTGAAGTTTCCTTATGAGAACGTGCTTGTTCCAAAATATATTGCATTGTAATATTATCTTTTATTTTCTCACTTAAGGAAATATGACGTAATTCTTGTGCTAAAGCACGAATTATCTTGACATTGGAATTCATTGTATTTGCACGTCCTACAAAGATAAAGAAAATGTTAAGGTGAAATAAATTATTTCTTTGTTTTATTATTTCTTACTGTTAAATACAGAAATACTCTGAACATTTTCTTAGAAATAATTACTTTTATATTAATGTTATATCAAAATATAATATCAATCATACATATCAAAATATTAGTACATGTTATGGTACAGTATTTGAAAAAAGAATTAACAAAAGTTACAAAATTGGATAAAATTTAACATGGTCTATTTGTTTTATCTGCAGGAACAAATTCAATATATTTGCTAGGATAATGAGGATTTTCTTTGTCAAGCCAAAAATCTGCTGATATTTCGTTTAATCTTTGTTTAGAAAAAATATGAATACTAGTAGCATAAAATACTTCTATGTGTTCAAAATCATTTTCTAACTTAATTTCTGTCATATATGGATAAATACGTAAAATATAGTTAGCAAATGTCATCAAATGCCATTTTAAACTTTGTTCTACTATATCTGAGAAACTATTGGTCAGTAGAACGCAGTTACACAAATTTTCGCTCCAATTGGAATACAAAAAATTATTTATCAATTGTCTTGGGCAATGTGGCATATAAATAAATGTAACGTTGTTGCTAATGGTACGTTTGCATTCTTCGTTGCTTTCTATCAAATTAAAATTAAATTCTTTTAGAATTTCAATCTCTTTAGGAAGAAATGCAGGATCATAAAATGATACTTGACATTTATAATTTCTTTCTAATAACATTACAAAAGCTAATTGATACATAGAAGACTTATGCTGAGAAAACCGTCCTAAACCATAACAGATTATCTCAAATATTTGATTGGCATTTAAAATTTTTAAAGCATTTGAAACATTATGTAAAACGTGTGTTTCAAATTCACTACCTCTTAGCTTGAGTGCTGCATCAATTACTTTTCTGCAAAATTACATTAAAAAGATCAACGTAAAAGTGAGGTTAACCATTAAACATTAAATATGATTAAAAAAAAAAACTTATTGGAAATGATAGCACCTTACCGTCTTATTATATCTTTTTCAAATTCAATTTCGTTGAATTCTGTAAGAGATAATTGTTCTTTAACAACTTGTACGAATTTTTTACGTTTCTTGCGTCGATTTACTAATATAAATTCCTCGTTAGACATATTATAATTTAAAACGTCTATTATATTAAATTAATTATGGTACAAACTTTGGACGTTTGTTATCGAATTTTTGAATTGCTAAAATTGTATTTACCTATTGTTTATAACAATGAAAAATATCACTTAACTGTATTTAACCCAACTTTTTCTAAAAGATACCTTATATGGTATATTGTGTAGCACTTCATACAAACAATAGGATAGATATTTATAGAACTCGTAACGCTCTCTGACGGTATATGAAACTATTATATTTGGATACTAATTCTTTTTAAATCCTATTAAACTCATAATTAAAAGAAAAGAGAGAGAGAGAGAAAAATATTAATTCAATTAAAAAAAGATATTATTATATTATTATCCCTACCAATTAAAAGTATCTGTAGTCTTAATTAAAGTCTTAATTATAAATTATCCAGAAATAAAATGTAGAAATTAAATAAGTAAATATAAATTATTGAAAGAAATGATTATATTTGAAAAAAGTATCCGATTGAAACTATTTTAAATTATAGAAATTCAAATACTAAAAGTAACTTTAATTTATAATATATAAATTACGTCAGTTGATTTATTTATTTTCTTAAGAAAGAATTAAAATATAAACGTTTTTATATTGTTTAGATCTGTATTCACTTCTTTATGTTAATTCATTTTTACGTACGTTGAATTTTCTATTTATTCTTATCGTTATCCTATATTAAAAATAGTTGATTTCAATTCTGTTACACTGATTGCAATAACTACACACCTAGCTGTAATGTTATAACGTGTGCCACGGTAAAGAAATGGATCAACTGCAACTTGAGACATGCTTGCATCAGACAATTGTGAATGCATATACCTGTTCTGAAATATTACATCGGTTGAAACTATATCGATTGCGTAATTTACAAAGCATTAACGTTAAATCAACAACAAAAATAAATATAATATTTATTAAAATAATAAAATTGACTATATATATATATATATATATATACTTGTCAGTAAAATTCATGAAGATGAGAAATGAAAATTACAGAGATAGTTATCACTAGTTAACTTAAAAGATGAATGAGTGCAAAGAAAGATGGTGTAGCGGCGTATTGAACAAATAAAATGTTTTTTTTTTTTAAATAACATCCTTTGTAACAGCATCCTTATAAAATTGACCGATAATGTGGTTGGTGGTATAACTGGTCTCTATACTATATGATGCAATAACTAGATAATACGAATATATCCTCACTATCTTAAGATATACGACACCGCGAGTTTTCGGGTAAAAAATATACGAACTGTATTAGACAGGTTTGCAGGAACTCTCATATAAATAGACTGTCAGCTTCACAATATGCATTCAATTCCTCTCCTGTTCTTGAAGAGTAAAGAACTCTACCTACCAACCGACATCATGTTTAGGGTAAGCCTAATTCAAATATATAACAAGATCAATCGAAATAGCATAAACATCATAAAAATTCTTATATATCCTATAAAAATAGATCTTATTTTTTCTTTTCCCTTTACATTACAATTTAATATTTTATATGTATAATAATGATCAGAAAAGCATGTCTTGTTAATGAATATGTTAACGTTAACTGATAAGTATATTATCAGCTAATCGTTAAATAGATCAAAATTTGTGAAATAAAGTTGAACCGTTGAGTATTCTGAATCAGTAACTTGAATTCGGAGCTTTGACTTTACGAGCAACTAAACAGCTCTCTGTCACATGATATCGAATTGCTGTTTTTCTTGAATCAGTTATTTTACCGTCTTCTACGGTAAATGTTCACGCGACATTAGATTTTGCCAAGAATAATAGTACATATATTACAATAGCGGGATTTAGATAATTCAATTGTTTCATTGTTTAATTGTCTAATTATCTTATCGATATAAAAAGATTGAAGAGAAGATGAATATACGGCCAAAAAACCGTATCGTGTAAGTGCCCTATAAGCTATCCAAAAATCTTTTGATCAATCACAAATGTCTACTTCTATGAATTGGAGGTGCCTCGTTTCAGCAAAATTTTCTAAGGATAATAATCAAACGATTGTATGCATTTTTCAGTTCTTGGTAATCTGTGGATGCCTGATGGCCGTCGCCAATGCTGGAGTTATCGGGGGCGGTTTGCTAGCAGCGACCGCACCTGCAGCACTCGCGGTTCAACCAGCTGGAGCTCTATCTTTATCTCCGCTGTCCACTGCTGCGGTCGTACCAACAATTGCGACCTCCTCTTCCAATATTATTCGGGGTATCGGTAATTTAGCTGCTATCTCGGCGTACTCGAAGAGCGTCGATACGCCGTTCAGTAGCGTCAGGAAAGCGGACGTACGCGTTAACAATCCTGGAATTGTGACGGCTGCCGTCGCGCCCGCGCCCGCGCTTGCAGTGACAAATACTGCTCTTGCAGGTATCTAACCGCAAGGCAGAATACGATGATCACGCTCTCTTTCTTTCTGATTTTTCTTTTTGATACTTTTGTTTGCTCGAAACTTTCTTTCTATCTAAATAATACGTTTGTTCTAATTTCGTTCCGTTTAATATTTTAAGCATGCAAACAGAAAAAAAATCATTCCCTCGTGATTGGGCATCACGTATTTACAACACTTCTTGATGAAGGAACGGGTTTCATATTTTTTCGCGGAAATAATACTTATAAATATGACGGGATGATGACACCCATCGCAATCCACGAAAATAATAACACTTTTTCCTATCATTCCTTTCTCTTCTCACGCTAAATCTTGATCTTTTTTTTTCGTGTAATAGTATCAATAAGAATTACGCATTTACCGATCTGCTTCCTAGGCGCTATAGACGGCTAGACGCTAAAATGAATGACAATCGTTACACTTCGAGACGCTTTTAAGCCGTTCGGTCTTTGCTTGCAACAATTGACATATTTCTTTGTTTTTTCTTTTTTCTTTTTTTTTTTTTGTTGGCAAATATTTGCACTATTTTATAAAACGCATAATTTCAACTTCCTTCTTTCCTTCCTGCCTTCCTTCCATCCTTTTAACAATGATTAATCGAAGTTATTTTTTGCATTTTTCATTTCTTCTCAACCACAACAATAAACAGGGCCTGTTACTACTGCTGCCATCGCTGCACCTGGTCTATTGGCTCCTGGATTGACCACTGCTCTTGCTGGACCTGCCTTAGCTACTGGCCTAGGTGCACCTCTTGGTCTCAATGGTTTGGCTCTTAATGGTTTGGGAGCAATCAAGGTTCTCTAAAGATATCGGCACACCAACCTTAAGCAAGCTGGTCGACTTTCAATTTCGATCGCATCAACAACTTAATACTTATACGTACATGTCACAGAATGTAACACTCCAACGAAAAATAAATATAAAAGGTTGAGATGCCAAGCAATGAGTTTATCCATTTACATCCAAACAGCACTTGTAGCATAACTGCTGACTTCTTAGATCACTTTTACCATCCTTGAAAATTACTTTATCCTTTAATACAAAAGTTATTCAACATTAATTTTTTTATAGAATTCTCGTATCATCAAACATATTTAAATAGTATAATATACTGTATTTTATATTTCCTTAAACATTCTACGTGTTATTAATGCTTAAAAACGTCAAATTTACAAAAAAAAATATTATGTTTAAAATTAAACAAATGATAATACTTACCTCTTTCTTTAATATATATTCAAAGAAATACATTTTATAGATCAACGTAAACTTCTATAATGACTTATAATATCAAAACTTCAAAGAGAAGAGTCCCCAAAAAAGAAAATATCCCGAGAAAATAATCCTGAGAAAAGAAAAGTAAAACAAAAAATCAATATAGACTTATTAATAGAATAACAATTCACTATTTATCATTTTAATATATGAATTTCCAGTTAGTGTATTTAAAGAAATATGGATCTATGATGCCATCATTTCAAATATCTGTTAAAAAAATTGTAAATTTCTCACTTCAGAAAAGTGATTTTTAGGAGACTCTGTATATAAGAAACAACGATTTAAAAAAATGGAATTCATAAATAATATTATATAAGTAGATATGGTAATAATATTGATGATGATAATAATAAAAATCAAAATAATAGTAAAATAATTTTACCTTTCTTTATTGGTCTAAGTTTCCAGTCAAATATATATATATATAATTACTTAGTTTCTTATAAAGTAAATAAATTAAATTGTGTATAAGAATAAGTAAAATATAGCTACTTGGTTCTATGTGGTCATTAACCCTTTCCTTACTAAAAATGACTAATTAATCAGCCAATAAAATTCAGACTGACAATGAGTTAGGAATTATAGATGAACGTAACATATTTTGATATCTTTATAGCAATCAACGTTCTTTTGACGTATATTCATATTTTCTATAATTTATTTTATATTGATTTCACACAACTTGATAAAGAAATGAATCGTTTGTATAATATACGACTAAATACTAGATGTTATATTCTATGATATTGTATACATTTATGATTGAATTGTCAACGACATTGTACTTTACTGCATATAATGAAAGGGTTAAAATAAAAATGTATCCTATAATATATTTACCCATTACTTAATAAATTCTAAGCATTGTATAGGAAATATATTTCTAATAGGAGTAAAAAGAGACAATATTATTTCACATGATATTTTAATAATATTGATTGATTGATAAATATTTTGTGCAACCAATAAAGAATGATATTATGAATATACGTTAGAAAATATCAATAATAATTGAATCAAATATTGCAACATACTGTTAATCAAATACTGTGAATTGTTATTTGAAGGTCATAATTAGCATTGTTTCTATAGCAAATTGTCTTTACAATAATATCAATCCGCAAAGAGAGAAATTTTTATTTGTTGGAAAAATGATTGTTATATATAATCGATTAGTATATAAATGTGTAATCAAAAAAAGATTCTGGGTAAAATTCAAGTTTACATAGATGTAGGAGACCAAAAATTCATTTCTCTTAATTCCGATGGTCTTGCTTGTAAATTATTTGTTTGGGATGATGATTTCCCTGGCGTTTTTTCATCTTTCCCAATATATGTAAGATTTTGCGAGGAGATAGATTTTTTTCTGTTTAATGTTTTAGGCGGAGCAAGATCTATGCCACTGTCCTCTTCTTCCTCTATTCTTGAGGTTAGAATTTCTCGTGATTGACCTAATATACTAGCTAATATCCAGCTGCCTTGATATTTATCTCGGTCAGGAATAAAGGCACCAGTAAAATATCGATTTGAATGAACTTTTCTGCGTGCTTTTGGTGAACTATCTGGAGTGGTTAACGGTGAAGCCAATGGTGTAGCTGGTAAAGATTTACTTCCTTTATTTAGATTTATTTCTTCTTCGACCGATGTCACAGAAGATTGTGGTTTGTTAAACTTAGTAGACATCATTTGGTTAGCTACATGAACAATAGATTTTCCACAAAGAGCTGGTTCACCATGAAATCCATCATCAGTTCCTTGAGATTTAGCTGGTTTTACGTTTCCAGTTAATGTTTTGCTTACTGTTTATTAACAATTTTATATTTATATATTAAAAAATATTGAATAATTAATAATAAAAATAATAATAATAATAATAATAAAATTTTTAATTTGAAAGCTTACTTTTATTGAGTGCATTCGGTATAAATGGTTGACAAGGTAGCGGATGCTGACTAAAATCAATATTTTTCACTTCTTTGAACTGCGAATGGGTTTGCTTAGTGGATACAATTTGATTTGCAGAGGCGGTAATTGTACTTTCATTATAAGTGGTGTTAGTAGAAATTTGTGATTTTGGATATTGAATGCAGAAGAAACCTTCGTCATGAGATGGTGGACTGAATGTACCTTCGTCAAAGTCAAACCTACAAAATAGAAAGAAAAAATATATGTACAATCCATTATATAGGTAATTGGTTCCACAAAAACAATGCGTAAATGGAAATTGTGTAAATGAACTATTAAAAGTCGTTTAAAATAAAGATCCATTCCACGTTCTCAAATATATATTTAACTCCTACTGGAATATAAACATAAGTTTCTATGATTACGAAACAAATTACACTGGGAAATTCCTGAATTTATATTTTCACATAACGCATCAGGGTGACACATTGACTCTGATAGTTAGAGCACGTTAAAGTGAATCTGTGTAAATGTGGACTGCATAAATAAAATTATTACCATATATGTTTATTTTAATCTAAAGAATTATTGGTGTATTCTGGAGATCTAATTAAAAATTTTTCAAATCATATTGGAAATCAATATAAAGATTAATTTGAAATGAAAAACCAAATAGAGATAAATATTTAAAAGAACCGAAACTATTAAATGATAAACTAGAAGATCCTAAATCTAATTAATGAAAGAGTTTCTTCGAGTTATACGCTACTACTGTAGTTTATGCTGTGTCCTCGATATCTTGGCAGTCGTTTGTATGTGAATCAAATAGTCACACAATCATACATACGCACGTGCATGTGCGCATATACGATACGCGCATGAAAATTAGTATGCGTATAGATCATTCGTCATATAAAAATAATTAATGTGCTTATAATTTACTACTAAGATAAAAGTGAATAGAAAACTGCATTATAAGCGCTAATGTGATATTTTTTCATCATTTCCTTTTATCGTTATTTACTTTTGTATATTGATTTATAGATTTATTTGTAATGTAAACCTGTGTTTAGTATAATTGAAAAATTAAACCAAATATAATATTATGCATAAACAAACTGTAAATGTTAAAGGATACATTCAAAAATATTAAAAATATCAATAAAAATGCAGTACATTGAACTTATAATCTTTAATAAGTTTATTATATAAAAAAAAAACTTATAAATTAAATAAGAGAATTGTAATAGCAATTCTAAGAAGATATGATATATTATCTATTAGAATTAAATGTCTAAAAATATAAGATCATGTAATAGATACCTACTACACGGGCCAAGATTTGTATATATACCACTAGATATATTTTTGACAATGCTAAAAGAATCAAAGTATATATAAAATTCTTAAAACATATTAAATTCTATTTATTATATTGTTTTATATCGAATTATACTAAAAATGTACATATTAAACTTTTATATTAAATTTTTAGTTAATATGTACCGTACCGAACCAAAGTATTGATTTAGACTAAATTTGCCTATAATTATTCTACATGTATTTTTAAAAAGTACCATTCTTCATTTATTTCTTTTGTAAAATATATCTCTCGAGTCGAAAATGTAGTATGTATATTGCAAACCATAAACATAAAATAAGTGTACAAAAAAAATACTTTTAACAATTAAAACTCATCTCTGATTATTTTTTGTTTCTACATCAATTTAATTTCCATAGCTTATAAATGTTTAAACTTTAGAGACTTAAAAGATATATCTTCTAAAATATCGTAAATATTGTAATCAGTACTACTTTGCTTTTATTGCATTTACATTCGCATTTGTATTCGAATGCATTAAAGGCAGAGGATTACTGATCATAACAGATTATATATATATATATGTTATCAGCAATGTATAGAATACTTAAACAATATATAGAATTCTTAGCATTTTTGGACGTAGTATAAAACAATGAATATTTCACATATTTCCGTAGGCCTTTTATGCAATACCAAAAAAAACAAAAAAAAAACGGGAAAAATATATAAAATACTCTCATTAATAACGTTTCTAATGTCACCTGGTAAGATACGTGATTTTCGATGCTCGTCTCAAATGAAGAATTTTTCATTTGCATTTCAGTTTTTGTTCGGAAGTGATGAAATACACTACTTTAATTTTGTTTAGTAAAGACTATTAAGACTTAAGGTCTTAAGGAATAGGTTTTAATTGCAATATAATATAGGAAAAGAGATAACTACCCATGAAATACTTTTCTATTTGGGAAATGTACTTAATTGCTGTAGCAAACCAAGCTATTAATATCTATTAATTATATACAATCTATTAATTTGTGCACACACACAAACACATCCCTAATATCTTTTACCATGTGACATAAAGAGTAACTATTTCACAAGGAGAGGTCACAGTTGACTCGTCACTGATCTTGATCTTCTTCTATGTGGTGAATTTACAGCAAATATAAATAAGTTTTACCAGAGTTTTTGATCTAATGGACTTTGTAAAAAAGGACGTTATTTATACTTTCAATTTAGAATAATTAAACATGTGAGGTATATGCCTTAATGAAAACTTACTATTAACCAATGCTGCATAACGCAATGAGAAAGCATAAGACAAGTAAATAGCAGGTACCCAGGTTCAAAACCTCTATTGTCAACAAAAAAAAAAAACTTTACAAACACTTAAAAGGCTTTTTTCTACTATTTTTTTCTTTTCTTTTTTTACTCTATACAAAATAAATGTAAATATTCAACTATTGTTATTGTTTAAGACATATATAGTATTTAACACTTTACTAACAGTTTATTATTTACATAAAATATATCATAATCCATATAACAATGTTTGTCGAAAAAAGAAGTTGTTTAATATTTTTTTAAACTATGATACCGCTCGAAACAGTCACCTTTGTGTAGTGGGACGTTGCAGTATTTACAAACGAAACCTGTTCTGCTTAGTTTTTKTTTACTTGCACAAACTYTGCATTGTCGTAGGGGTTTTTTACATCGACCGCTGGTCACTATATTTACCAGTTTATGCTTTCCGAAATTTGCCAGTCTTCCGGGATGATCAAATYGGGATGTGGTTCTTGTGGGTTCGGAATTAGGTAGATCCTTATCTTGTTCTTCAGTTTCGCAGTCTTCTATCAATGAAAGTGCCGCTTTGTGCAGAAAATTTTTATATGTAATCTTCTGTCCGTTCAGAGTTGTATATACTTTAAAGGAATTAAAAAGTGCACAGTTGATGAAGAACATTACGACACGTTTCGTCCATTTTTTTGTTTTCCTAAAAATGGAGTAATAGGACAGATATTGATCTGCATGATCTACGCCCTTCATATATTTATTATAATCTATTATTGAAATAGGCTTCTGTATGGGGCAATCTGATGTCCTGCTTCTGTTTCTAGATTCCGCCATTTGTGCAGAATGTATTGTCGAGATCATGTGTACGTTCCTTTTGCCATTATTCCATACTTGTAATAAAATATGGYCATTTCTAARAAATTGATGTTGGCCTCTTGAAAGTTTGGCAGTTTGAAGTATTTGAGGAAGACCTCTGTTCTTTTGAATCGTCCCGCACACTCGCAATTTATTTTTTAAAAAAATTTTAGCCATGTTTACACTATTATAATAATTATCTTGATATATATGGTGCCACATGTTCTTATACGGTTCAATGATCGATAATACAGTCTCTTCTAATTTTTTTCCATCAGCGGCATACACACAAAAGTTGGATACGTATCCTGTACGAGCTTCAAACAGCACTCTGATCAGTATTCCGTATTTTGTGATTTTTGCGGGATTATACGTTTTGATTGACAGTCTATCTCTCCACGGAATTAAACATTCATCTAGAAACAATTGTTGATCTGGTTTATATACGTTGTTAAATTTTTCCTTGAAATAATCGATGACAGGCTGGACCTTCACCAGCTTATGCGAATTGGGAGAAATATCGTTATTGTTACAAAAATGCCAGCTTTGCATTATTTGTAAAAATCTGTTTCTGCTCATAACCTTCGAGAAGAACGGCGTTTCTATAGATGGGTCTGTAGACCAATAATCGTTGAGTACGTCCTTTTTTACTTGTACCATGAGAACGATCAGGCCCAAAAATTTCTTCATTTCAGTCACCGTGACGTCTTTCCATTTTTTCGTTTTTGATGTATTTCTATATTTTTCCACAATTTGATAATGATACCTATTAGACTCCCTCACGAAGTGCTCAATCAGGTCACTTCCAATGAATAAATTCACAATATCTATTACGCTTTCAGAGGAATTTGGCATAATTTTTACGCCAGAGCTGCCTTCGAAAGGTTCCAAAATTATATTCTTGTCGTTCGTTGACCATGTACCATTGTTGTCTTCAATGTTATCAGTTATGCCCTCGTCTTCTGAATCACTGTATATTAGCGATACAGGACGTTGTTTTCGAATCGCTATACTATTGCTATCACTTTCGTCATCAGTACTACTTGCTGAACGGCAGTCAAGAAAATCTGACAGGTCGTCTATATAAAACTCACCGACGCTATCCTTTTCATTCATTTTTAAGAGCTAAAGCTTAGAGAAAAGCACCGATTATCTGAATAAAGAATGCGAAATGTTTGTTGCTTGCTACTTGCCAGTCTGACCTAACCAAATCTAACAGAAAGATCAAAAGTCGATTAATCGACAACCGATCGGTAAGCGCTGTGGAGCAAAAGTCGATTAATCGACTGCCGGTCGATATGCGTTGAGAACAAAACGTCGATTAATCGACGGCCGGTCGATATGCGGACAAACTATTGTTCAGAGAAGAATACATTAAATCGCTCCAAGAAAGTAAACAACATATACAGAACCGCCAAATATCATTTTTGAGCAACACATTTAGACAGTAATAAAATTTATGTTATAACTTTTGAATAAAGCTTTAAATGTTTATAGAACATTTTTGTTTTATTTTTGAGCATAGAATATATTTATAACATATGTACGAAAAAACCTCAAACACCAGTATTACCAGCAACATATAAAGGGAGCGTCACGAGAAACATATCACCTGAATATCTCATTTATTAACAATTGTATGAAAAAACTTCAAAAGAGGAAATTGCATAACCATTATATTTTCCTTCTGCGACAATGCAACTTTTTACTTTGAAATTTTTTGTCAACAAGAGATAGTCAGATGTCTTACTTCTCGTGATTTTACCTATATATATAATAAATGTTTATTTAATATATAATTATATAATAACAGATTCTTAACATTTGATAATTATTCTTTTTACTAACCTGTTGTCTACTTTTCCTTTAATCCATCGTGGAAGAGATATACCTGCATTTAAAGATCGATCTTGTTGTCTTGATGAACCCATTTTTCTGCAGCGTATGTCCTTTTATCTGTCTATAATCAGTCTTCAAATAGTTCGATAGATTTCTATTCAAATTTCTAAACCTCCTATATGATCCTTCTGTAACAAAATGATAAAATGTAATTAGCATTTTTTTAAGTACGAAAGTAAGTTCATAATTACCTATCAATGTTATAATCTTTTTTTATGCGTTAGTTGTATTGTCAAATTCTCAAGCATTAATATTTGTCAGTTTCCTCTTGTTACAGTTGTACAGATTTGAGAATGTTAGATTGATTATATTTTATTTATCTTGACATTAACAATATTTGCTTTTAAATAGAAAAAACAGATAATTGTTCGCTATAGTTTCTTCATGTAAATTTAAAGTAGAAAAGTTGTTGTAAATGTCATAATAAACAAAATTTAAACAATCTAGAATGTTCAAACCTGTACAGATGTGATAGAAGAATTACAAATAAGTCACTCGTATACTAAATTGATAAACTCCACAAAAGAAAGAGTAGAAAAAATAAAAAAAAAATTGTTGTATCATTGTTGTTTCATTTATTATTAAAGGACCATAAATATTATTCTTATTTAGTAGTGTCAAGCCTAATTACTAAAGAAATTTATTTTAAATGCAAAATGTGTTAAATTCTGATCAAGTGGTTTGATAATAAAGTTTTAAATAATTCTAAAAGTAAAGTTAATTGTTTTGACCTGTGAATGATTCAATGCATGACGTCTTGACAATATAACCAACAATAAAAACAATACAAGATTACAGATGATTATTAACTTACGCTTTTAAATATAATATTGTAATCTATGTAAATTAGTACAGTGCAGCGTCGATTATCTGAACACATTAGTAATCAGAATGATTGTTTATTTGAGTATAGAATTAAATATGTGTTTATATACCTCAGCTATATATTCAATAATGTTTATGTTATGGGACACGAATTCCAGTTGTTTTAAATACCTAAGTTTATTATCTTTTTTGAATTTTCATTTATACGATGAGAATAAAAACAATTCCATAATAAAAAATGTCATTGGATTATCGAAATGAGCACCATTAGTTTTCTTAAAATTAATAAAAAAATATAGTAATATGATGAAAAATCTAATGTTAAACAATACTATTAGATGACATATAATAACTCCATTTAATCTTGTCTGAATTTATTGCTTTCATACATATAGATTTCATTTATTCAATAAGTATTAAAAGAAAAAATTTGATGTTGAAATTAAATTATAAATTAGATATTTTAATTGTATTTTTAAGAATGGATGAACATAGATAAAAATAATCCAGGTTTTGAAATTATGAATGACGATGATATTATTCCACTTTTGTTTGGGACAAATGATAATACAAATGTCAGTATAAATGAAAATATGACGGAATATAGTAGCATTTCAACACAAAGCGAATCTGAAAATGTTTTGATTATAGCCTTGGAATGGGCAAAAAGTCAAAATAAAATAAATGCTGTACAAATGATTATGTTGGAGGGAACTTACAATTTGGCAATAATTCTAAGAACATCTAATTTTTGATATTGCACTTTTCTTATTATTAACTCTCTGTGTATTCGTTTATTTATAAATCATTCAGATTACAAATTTGTTTAATTTTTAATCGATTTATGACATAATAAGAAATTCAATTCTTCAGACTGATTATTCAAAAATCGGATTAACGAAATGATTTTGTCTTTCAATTAATTCAGATAATCAATGCTCTACTGTATAGGCTTTTTGATTTCGAACTATTTTTCAAACATTATATTTAAGAGGGAAAAATCTTTTTTACTAAAATTTAATAGAAAAAAATTGAAAGAAAATTGTTACCGTTAAAATGTAAAATCCGTTAATTTATGAAACAACCAGCTATTCATAAAAAAAATATACTGACCTATTAAAGTACGAAGTAAGTAATATAAGAATTCTCTAGAGGAGGATAGTTAAAATATAAAATTAGAATTTGATCCGTAAATTAGATCCGATAGAGCAGTACGCCTAACTAAACATTTGTTTTCAAAGTACAGGAAGAAATAAGAATGGATAACAACAAGCATTATTGTAAAAAGAAAAGGTGACTAAAAATGGATCAAATTTCAATTTAATACTTTAATTTCTCGTCTCTTTTGAGACCTCGTTATCTCATAAAATAACTAATTTAACAATAAGTGTATAATAAAATTCTTTTTACATACTTTCTTTAAAATGCTTAATTAAAAAATGCCAAGATTTTTCATGAATTAACTAAATTATACACTTTAACGGTGATATATATGAAAATAAAAAAAATTATTTCTTAAAATTTAAATATTCTGGACAAAGTATGTTGTAATGTAAGAAAATACATTTGTATGCCTTTTATTACTTTAATATCTTTTGTTTGAGGCTAGGTGCATGTATTTATCAACATCCATGCAGTAGCATTTAATCACATGTTATATGTGCGACATGTGTTTGTCGTCATACTTCTCGTTTCTTCCCGTTACACACTTCACTCATAAACTTTTAATCCAATTTACTATTATCATTATTTTTATTATTACTATTATTATTATTACTGTGTGTGTGTGTGTGTGTGTATGTGTATATATATACACAAAAATACTAAAGTAATATGTAAAGCAGTTTAAGCCATTTGATAAACAACAAAATAAAATCATTAAAATAATATAGGCTACATAAAATATATAAAATGCAAATTGTTCGATAAATGTAACAATTTGATTAATCTGTTACAATGTCATATAGAACGCGCCATTTTATAAGCATGTTTATGTAGGTTTCATACCACTGGCTAAGCAACTATGTACACAGCAATACATATTAAAATGGAAGAGAAATAAATATAATAGAAAATATAAAATAATTATTTTTAATCAATAACTTACCAAGTTTTGTAGACAAAGATTAAAAAGTTGAACCATTATACTCATAACTGTAATAATCCGTCGCGTCTTCTAAAATATTTGTGGTCAATTTATAGCCGAAGTATCATGAATATTTCGATGAGTAATGTAATGTGATAAATGCTAGATGG